CTCAATGCTGTGATGACTCACCTGTCCTACCGCCAAAACCCCGGACCTCTGCCTCTCACCTGCTGGACAGATCAGCCCTCAGCACTCACCACTAGATGACACCAACAATACCAAAAATGACTGGGACAATGTGCAGTTAGAGAGTTCCTGTTCTGTTTTCTGCCGATTATTCCGTTTAAGGTGTTATAAACATATCTATATTATAAACACCTATAGATTATTAAACTACAAATGAAATACCTAGTAAATAGGATCAGATGCGTATTACCTGCAGGGTCCATTTACAATATGAACTCCGAAATCAATAAATAAATCGATCCAACTGAAGAAGTAATGTTTTGATAGGATGAATCGCTATTGTTGCTATAGCAACGGCTGTCGTATACATGTTAAGTGTGTCGAATGTCATAACTGTCAATTTTTTTGAAACTGAGATGTATACATCATCTGAAAGCTGAATAAATAAGCTTTCCATTGATGTATGGTTTGTTAGGATAGGCTATAGGACAATATTTGGCTCAGATACATCTATTTGAAAATCCGGTATCTGAGGGTGCAAAACAATATTGAGAAAATCGCATTTAAGGTTTTTAGCAATGCATATTACTCATCAAAAATTAATTTTGATATATTTACGGTAGGAAATTTACCAAATATCTTCATGGAACACGATTTTTACTTAATAGAAAGTTACTTTAAAAAAAACACGAATATCTCCATCCTTATTACAAAGATAAAATAAACAGTTAAACACATATCAACTGTATTTTTTGCTGGGCATGTTATCACATTAAAATATGATGACGTTGGAATTTTAGCTCTGTTTTGTTTCGTATATGTGATCACGCGCAGCCCGATGCATTAACTGGATTAACCCATACTCATAATAAAGTATGTATTATGTGCAGTGTTGCCAATTTAGCAATTTTGTTGCTAGATTTAGCAACTTTTCAGACTACCTTAGCAACTTTTTCTTCCAAAAGCACCTATTTTTATCTGGAATATGCCATTGATTTGCCTGGTGTTGAAATGCAAAAAGATGAGACACCTCAGAGAATCTTAAGGAAGTGTGTAAATATAGCATCTGTTTTAACTTCAGCACTCTAATAATGTTTGAGAAGCACTAAAAATAGCCTGGAGAAACATAAGGCCTGGCTGCCATGAACACTTCAGAGTTTGAGAGCTTGATCTTTTTGCTTTGCTTTTAATTGATAAGCTCCTCATTACTATGGAAATCAATATGCTATTGAGCAAAACTGAGGCCTGTCACAGTTGTGTATTGTTGGTAGTTGTTGTATTGTTTTATTATTGTTGCTTTGTGCAAATTAAAGTCTGGCTAATCGTGTGTTTATGCCTAATCAGTTGAGATAGAGGCCTGGTCTACATATCTTGGAATAATTAGCCATAATGAACCCATATTAATGATGTAATTATTATTCATGTCTTGTTGCCAAGCTTGTATTAGACTCAGTTGTATTCAATTTGTCAGTGAATTCTTCCATTCAACATCTAATTCAATTCAGATTCCAGACATTCTAGAAATTGGACATAATAATAGATAAACAATAAACAGTTTTGCCAGTGTCTGCACATGATATGAGTTTCAGAGCTGCAGTTTTGTAGTCATGTGGCTTGATCATGAAGTCTTAAATCTGTGCAACCATTGTGTTGAATCCTGTGAACAAATAGTGTGCATTCAGCTGATGATGGTGTGTTCAGTCAAGGCAACCTTTTGCCTCTGCTTTCATTTGTATATCATTTGAGTTTTGCAATTGTAAAAGAAAAGAAAATGCTTTTAGAAAATAAGAAATAATACATTTATTTAGTTTTACACTAAGTTTGGAATGAAGGGTCATGGAGTTGCATGACAGGAATAAATGACATTGTACAAAATATCCATATAGAAAAGCTTGTAATAATATTTCATAAAAAATGTTTCTGTATTTTGATCAAATAAATGCAGCCTTGGCGAGCATGAGACTACTTTCAAAAACATTAAAAAGTCATAATAGTTATTCCAAATGTTGACTGGTAGTGTAGGGTAAACAAGTGACAAAAATCTGCCAACAGAACAGATCAAAATATTTTTCTTCTCAATATATAAATATCTTTAAATAATATCTTAATACCTTACGCAATTTTGCAATTCAAGAATGTCAGGATACTGGAAAACAAGTAATAGTTATTAAGAACTGATTAAAAAACAGATCTGTACTGTACTTCCAGATAATAAAACGCATGAAAAAAAATATTTTTCTTATTTTATTTTATTCTTATTTTGCTCTATTTTTATATTTTTGATGGATCTGTTTTTAAAATAATATGTATTTGATTAGACAATTTTTATGAAATAAAATTAAATTAAAATAAGACATTTAATCAGACATTTCATTTTAAAATAATATATAGATTTTTTTCTTTTATGCTTTCATTAAAGTTTTTAGACATATTTGACTAGACATTAAAATAGGCTAAACATTTGATTAGACGCATTTCCTTATATATTTTTTCTTTTTTAAAATATGTTTTAGATATATTTGACTAGACATATTTAATAATGAAATATAAATGATTTTATATTTTATTTATTAATATATATATTTATAATATAAAGTTGATTGTCTTGTTGATTATCTAAAAAAAAGTGATGTGATGTGATTTTTTTTTTTTCACGTTTTATCATCTGAAAGGTTACATATCAGTGTCAATTTGGCATTAAGCCAAATTTTGCATATTGCACATTACGATTTGCAGTTTGTAAATGTGCGGATGCGTGTGCATTATGGAACGATATTCCGGACAATTTTCAAAAGGACTTGCAAATTGTATTTTCAATTGCGTTTTCCATATGTGGACGCATAAATTGTGACATAATCCAAATGCAATTGCAAATCCTTCATTACCGTTTGCATTTTCGCTTTCGCGAACGCACAGTGACTGCCAAATTTCAAATGAAAAAGCAAAGTCCATTTGCAACTGTATATTTGGCACTAAGTCAAATTTTGCATATTGCACATTACGATTTGCAGTTTGTAAATGTGCGGATGCGTGTGCATTATGGAACGATATTCCGGACAATTTTCAAAAGGACTTGCAAATTGTATTTTCAATTGCGTTTTCCATATGTGGACGCATAAATTGTGACATAATCCAAATGCAATTGCAAATCCTTCATTACCGTTTGCATTTTCGCTTTCGCGAACGCACAGTGACTGCCAAATTTCAAATGAAAAAGCAAAGTCCATTTGCAACTGTATTTCCCATGTCTTAGGAGTTACGAGCCAGTCATATTTAAATAGCAATATTAATTACCAGTCTGCTTTTTCACTCTCGCTGCGTCGCGCATGTAACCTGCCAAAACTCAAATGGAATCGCAATTCCTTTTGCATTTGAATTTCCGATGTCTACATGGAAAGCTGCCAATCATCGTCAGGGGCGGGACTATACTAGGGGGCGTGTTTGTATTGGGAGGTGACGTCACTCACAGACGACAGTGCCGAATGCTCTGATCAATGGAGGTAATCGGTAAAGGCTCCGCTAAAGGCAGCTAGCAATCAGTTTCGTACCTGTGTGAACGAATAGACAGTGCAACCTTCTTGGCACAATACATAATTATGTCTTTTTTACCCCAAATGTAGCGATTATCCCCTGCTAACAGCGGGAGCCACAACGGTACGCACAATAGGTCAACATTCACTATTAACCAAACGCTTTTCACCTGTCTCAGCATCTCTCACTGTTTAGAATCAGAATCAGAATTAGCTTTATTCGCCAGGTGTGTGCAAACACACGAGGAATTTGTTGTGGTTTTTTTAAGGTGCTCCTAGTACATACATACATGCATACATACATATCTGACATGAGAACAGAAAAAAAAATACATTTAAATAGTAAAAACTTAACAATAAATAATGTGTATGAATCTGGAACAGTAGATTTATGTACAGATTTGTGCATTATTTACTCTATATAGAACTGTATAAATAAAGAGATATGCATATGTATTTGCATAATACTTGAGAAAGAGGCAATAATTAAGGATGTAGAATGAATTACGGAAATGAATTACAGAATGCAGGTATATTTTAAAAATGAAATGTCTAATCAAATAGGTCTTATTTTATTTTATTACAAAAATATGTCTAATCATATGGCTAAAACATGCTGAAAAAAAAACAAGAACATAAGAAAAAAAATCTATATTTTATTTAATAAGGAAATGTCTAATCAAATATGTCTTATTTTATAATAGAAATATGTCTTGTCAAATGTCTAAAACATATCAATAAAAAAGCATAATAAAAGGTTAAAAAATCCATATTTTCTTTTATAAAGAAATGTCTAATTAAATGTTTTATTTTATTATAGAAATATGTCTCTAGTCAAATGTCTATTAACATATAAATAAAAACAAAATAAAAGAAAAATCCATATTTGATTGTATTTTATAAAGACATCTGTCTAATTAAATGTCTTATTTTATTTTATTATAGAAACATGTCGTCAAATGTCTTGTCAAAACATATTTAAAAATGTAAAAAATAAAAAATTATTTTAAACTCATTTTATTTATTTGTTTATTTATTTTATTTTGATGCATCTGTTTTTTTCATGTGGTTTTGTTGAATAGGTCACCAAGATTATGTCACAATTTATGCGTCCACATATGGAAAACGCAATTGAAAATACAATTTGCAAGTCCTTTTGAAAATTGTCCGGAATATCGTTGTCCGGAATATCATTCCATAGTGCATTGTGTGTTAAGTGGAAATAGGAAGCTTGCATCTGTTCAGTTCACCCGACCTGCCTGTCCAACAGATGCTGTTGAGATTTTCCCAGACTGCTCAGGCTGAAGGTCTAAACCTGCAGCTGTTTAACAAGTCAAGGACAGGTCTGATTGTGAAAGCCATCCACAGGATACTGAAATTGTCTCATTTGATTATTATTATTCTTTCTGAAGGCTTCTGTAATGTAATGTAATGCATCCAGGTGCTGATAGTATGTGTTCACGTCTTCAGATCCCTCAGTGGTGTGCAGAGTTCTGTCTGTCTGCGCAGTACCAGCACGGTGTGGTGGTGTGCAGTCAGATCCAGAGACGGCAGGCTGTCGATTTGGCCCTCCGTGTTGCAGACGAGATGGACGTAAACATCGGCCACGAGATTGGATACAGCATCCCGTTGGAGACGTGCTGCTCCAACGATACTATTCTCAGGTCTGTGTGAAACTCGCATGCATGCAGCCCTCAAAAGTGTGAAAAACCGCACTGAAATGCTCACTATCACCAAAAGTTTTCAAGTTGGTGATATTTTAGTTTTGTGCTTTGGTTGGTCCAGCTAAAGTATGAGAAGAATGTGCCGTCTTCTGAAATGTTTGAAATACTTGAGGTCTTTTTGCTTTATTATAAACGGGCTCAGTGGAGGTCCGGGAGGCATTTCTCTGTCTCTTGCTTTGGTGTTGAGGATAGGGACATGTCCACCAGTGTCAAAGCACTGCTGAATAATCTCTGCCAGAATGTGTGTGTTTTTGGGGGGGATTTTACCAAATAATAGTGTTTTGAATTATATTATATTTTAAAATAAAATATAATATTCAACAATATTCATTGATACCTTAAATCATGTAATTTATTGAGAAATGTACTATTACTTTTCTAAGTGATTGTACTTGATGATTAACCTGTCAGACAAAAAAAATCATCCTTTTAGTTTCAATTTTATTTTATAAAGAAATGTCTAATCAAATGATTTATTTTGTTATTATAGAAATATTTCTAGTCAAATATGTCTAAAACATCTTTAAAAATAAAATAAAAAATATTATCCATATTATATTTGATAAGAAAGTCTAATCAAATATGTCTTATTTAATTTAATTTTATTATAGAAATATGTCTTGTCAAATATGTCTAAAACATATCAATAAAGAACATGATAAAAGAAATAAAAATCCTATTTTATTTTAAAAATGAAATGTCTAATCAAATAGGTCTTATTTTATTTTATTACAAAAATATGTCTAATCATATGGCTAAAACATGCTGAAAAAAACAAGAACATAAGAAAAAAAATCTATATTTTATTTAATAAGGAAATGTTTATTTTATTTTATTATAGAAACATGTCGTCAAATGTCTTGTCAAAACATATTTAAAAATGTAAAAAATAAAAAATTATTTTAAACTCATTTTATTTATTTGTTTATTTATTTTATTTTGATGCATCTGTTTTTTTCATGTGGTTTTGTTGAATAGGTCACCAATAATACATTGTAGAGTTAAAGTTTTTGTATGTATGTGCATCTTTCTACATCTGTATATAAATGTCAAAACCAAAACGATATTCTGGTTGCAGGTACTGCACTGATGACGTCCTGCTGCGGGAGATGATGTCCGACCCCATGCTGGAGCATTATGGGGTGGTGGTGATAGACCAGGCCCACGAGAGGACCGTGAGCACAGATGTTCTGCTGGGTCTGCTGAGAGAGGTGCTTCTCCAGCGGCCCGAGCTCAGGGTGGTGGTGCTGTCCGCCCCGCCTGCTTCTGACACGCTCCTCACGCACTACGGGAACGTCCCACGCCTGCACCTGGACGCCCCGTGCGCCGGGGAAGTGATCCACAGCAGCAGCAGCAGCGCTGAAAGCTTCTATTCGGCTCTGAGACTCGCGCTGGAGGTCCATCGGTCCAGAGAGCCAGGAGACGTAGCTGTGTTTCTAGCTTCAGAGCAGGTGAGATGAAGTGCGTTAGTGGATTAGAACAGCTTGTGAACTTTTATGCATTGCAATTTATTGTAGCAATAATGCAAGCATAAATTATCTGGACAATTAACCAGAGTTAACCTGGAATGATCCAAGAGCTGGAGAGTTGAGTATTGACACTAAAAGTGAATATTTAATGAATGAATGCGTGAATGAATACGTGAATGCGTGAATGAATGCGTGAATGAATGAATGAATGCGTGAATGAATGAATGCGTGAATGAATGTGTGAATGCGTGAATGAATGTGTGAATGCGTGTGTGAATGAGTGAATGAATGCGTGAATGAATGAGTGAATGAATGAATGAATGCGTGAATTAATGCGTGAGTGAATTAATGCGTGAATTAATGCATGAGTGAATTAATGAATGAATGCATGAGTGAATGAATGAGTGCATGAATGCGTGAGTGAATGAATGAATGTGTGAATGAATGAATGAATGAATGAATGCGTGAATGAATGAATGAATGCGTGAATGAATGAATGAATGCGTGAATGAATGAATGAATGCGTGAATGAATGAATGAATGCGTGAATGAATGAATTAATGCGTGCGTGAATTAAAGTGAATTAATGAATGAATGCGTGAGTGAATGAATGAATGCGTGAGTGAATGAGTGAGTGCATCCAGCTCACTGATCAAATAGATAAGAGCATTTGTGTTAATTATTACACTAATGTTCAAAAGTTTTTGTTTGAAAAAAGCCTCTGCCACTGCTGCATTTATTTGAGCAAAAATACAATAAAAATAGTAATATTGTGTTTTTGTTGAAACTTACTGTGATGTGTTTTTGTATTAATAGAGAGTTCAGTGGAACAGCGTTTATTTGAAATAGCAATCTTTTGTACATTATAAATGTCTTTACTGTCACTACTGTTCACAGTTAGATGTCTCTGTGATATTCTGTGTGTAAATATGAGTCCCATCTTCAAGTAACTTTTCTAACAGCACACCAACAAGGGAACTAGTTGCGCACAGAAAATGGGGTTGGAGGTTGTCCAAATAATCGTAACTTTTAGCAGTAGCAATAGTGATGCTTGCTGTAGTGAACAGCACTAACACAATGTTCTCCATGATGACAGTGACATTGTTGTGTTCAGCACGGTCAGCAGCGTCTGAATGAATACGTCCACTCAGCTCTTCCACTCTTACTGACACTCTGCCCTGTAAAATCACATTAATGCCAAATACTTAGATTTAACTAGTTACTTCAATCAATCACAATATTACTGACTGTCACCAATCACTTTTTTCATCAACATCAACAAATGGTGAAACAGAAGCTGCATCTGACATGGAGCTTGTATATTTACACAGACTGTTTAATGCTGTTCCTGTACATGTATTTGTGCAAAAATTGCATAATGTACAGTAAATAGCCTATAAATTAAAAAACAGTTACTCATTAGATGGTGAAGCTGCTATATCATAACAAAATTACTGTTGATTATTGCTCTTGATATTCTAATAATTTTGTGGGGAAAAAGCAATATAAAAGCAGTCATATTTTGACAGACAAAACAAGCTAACAGCTGTTTATGAATTTGTTTGTTGCTTTGTACAGATTAAAAAATCAAGACCCTTTGTAGCATGAAAAACAAAACGGTTATTTTGCAGAAACTCCTGTTGCAATCACTAAAGCTGCAGTCTGCACTGCAAAATGAATCTCTTGTATCTTTTCTGCACTTTCCAATTCACAAATGCAAAATCAAAAGTCTGCGAGAAGTGCACTAAACAACTTTCTCTCCGGTGGCGAAACAAAAGCCTGTGTGTGTGTGTGTGTTTCAGGAGGTGCTCTGTGCCTGTAATATTCTCACTAAAGAAGCGTCCAGGATGAGTGCATCTCTGGGAGAGCTTATCGCGGTTCCCCTGTGTCCTGGATACTCCGGAATGTGTCCACCAATCACAGAAAGCCCACAGACGAGTAGGCGGGTCTTCGTTTCCTGTAGCCAATCAGAGGATCTGTTCTGGCCGGTGGACACCGTTACTTTTGTCATCGATACTGGAGTAGAAAAGAGATTAGTGAGTGTGCTGAAAACCTGCTTTTATTTACTGCGTTCGTTGTTGGTTTTGTAGCTTTTCGAATCAAAAGTTCACCGATTTGCAAATGTATTTGAGCAGTCCAAAAATAATTATTTGGAAGTCTTGTGACTGTAAATTCATATTTTCTGTGGTATTGTGTGTAGGTGTATAGCCCACGAGTGAGAGCGAGTTCAGAGGTCATCCGACCCATCAGTAAATGTCAAGCAGAAATCCGTAAACGACTGACCGGATCAACAGGTGTGTACGGTTTTGGCATTTATTTGACATTCACCTGCTTTTTAAAAGATCCTCCATATTAACACTATGAACACCCAGTGTATTAGTGTATTTACAGTATAAAGACTGCTATATATGTATGGTGTTAAATAGAAATCACAGTTCAGTATGCAAATAAATGTGAAAAATTGCAATTATTTATGAAAATATTGTGATGATGTCATCACTGTTGGTTGCATTTTAAATGAATAAACATAAATTATACATAAGTGGATATACAAAATGAATGAATAAATGAAGTAATAAATTCAGTGTATATCTTATGTCTTTATTCCTTCATTCATTTAATGTCCTAAATATATATATATATATATTATTTTTTATTATTTTTTTATTATTATGCATAATATTATTTTCTGATAATAATCAGATTTTAAGAAAATGAATTTCAAAAACCTAAGAAGTGATTAAAATTAGCTCTCTGCTAAGCACTTTTGAAGTGTTGAAAATTTTGAAGAGGAATAAAAAGCACTGAAATGAAGCACTTATGCTTTAAATCAGTTACATGTAATTTCACAGCATTTGTTTGGCTGCTCAGTAGAGAGTCATTGTCAGTAGTGAATCACTGTTGAATGTGTTTGTTTGAAGGGAAGTGCTTCTGTTTGTATCCTGAGGACGTTCAGCTGCCCGCTGAGATCCCTCCTCGCATTCTGGAGTCCAACATCACGTCCACAGCGCTCTATCTGAAGAGGATGGAGACGGCCGGGATCGGACACTGTGACTTCATCAGCAGACCTGGTGGGTCAGATTTCATTTCATTCAGACGAGGATTTCACAGTGGCATATGACAGCGTTAATAATAATAAGAAGAATAATACATTCATTTTATATAACACCTTTCTGCAAACTCAAGAGAGGTTTGTCTACAGCTTTACCAGTGAGTAGAATGTCAGTAAACTATGGAAGCCCATTTCCGCCATGGAATAAAAAAAAAGAAATTAAAAATGTAATTGCGACTCTTTATTTTACATTTCTGACTTTTTTCTCACAATTCTGAGTTAAACTCACAATTCTGAGAAAAAATCAGAACAAAGATGAACACAGAAGATAATACATCAACATGATAATAATAAATAACGTTAAAACTAATACAATCATAAAGCACCACCCATTTTAAAATGCCATAGAGAATAAATGAATTTTAAATTTGGATCTAAAAATAGCCAGTCGGTGCCGTTCTAATAGCTAGTGGCAACTTATTCCACAGATTTGGACCGACCGCCGCGAACACACGATCACCCTTGTGCTTAGATCTAGTTCTGGACACTGTTAAGAGTGCCAGATCACTGGATCTAAGTGATCTAGAGGGAACATGTCTTACAAGGAGGTCTGCAAGATAAGATGGAGCGCGGTTATTAATGGACTTGAATACCATTACCAGAATTTTTAACTCTATTTTGTTCTAAGTAAACTAAGAATTCTAAGTTTATATCTTGCAATTCTGTTTTTTGTTTTCGCCACAGAATACAAAATAAAAATGTAATTAAAAAAATTTAATAACTTTTTTTCTTGTAATTGTGAGTTTCTTACAGTTCGACATAATTCGGACTGAGTTTATAAACTTGCAAAACTGAGTTTATATCTCGCTATTCTGAGTTTATATCTTACAAAATCTTGCAATTCTGAGTTTATGTCTCGCAATTCTGAGTTTATATCTCGCAATTCTGAGTTTATATTTTACAAAATCTCGCAATTCTGACAAAATCTCGCAATTCTGAGTTTATATCTTACAAAATCTCGCAATTCTGACAAAATCTCGCAATTCTGAGTTTATATCTTACAAAATCTCGCAATTCTGACAAAATCTCGCAATTCTGAGTTTATATCTTACAAAATCTCGCAATTCTGAGTTTATATCTTACAAAATCTCGCAATTCTGAGTTTATATCTTACAAAATCTCGCAATTCTGAGTTTATATCTTACAAAATCTCGCAATTCTGAGTTTATATCTTACAAAATCTCGCAATTCTGAGTTTATATCTTACAAAATCTCGCAATTCTGAGTTTATATCTTACAAAATCTCGCAATTCTGTTTATATCTTAATATAAAAACCTGGTACCGTAACATTTCATTTTTTTAGTACTTTTGACAACACTAATTCTGAGTTTATATCTCGCAATTCTGAGTTTTTATCTCACAAAATCTCGCAATTCTGAGTTTATATTTTACAAAATCTCACAATTCTGAGTTTATATTTTACAAAATCTCACAATTCTGAGTTTATATTTTACAAAATCTCACAATTCTGAGTTTATATCT